GATTTCTTTCTACCTGACTTTAGGGTGTGGGGGACAGTTTCTTTCCTCAAAATTGTGGGAATCTCCATTGTGAATGTTTCCAGTGATCATTGGAGAATGCAACCCTGGAGGTACAAATTGGCCACCTATAAAGACTAAGAATGGGGCACACAACACTGCTTACTATTCAGGAGCACCTTCCACATTCTTCTTAGAATATACTATTTTAGAGCCATGGTGGCGCAGTGGTTAGAGTGTAGTACTGTAGGCTACTTCTGCTGACTACTGGCTGCCTGCAATTTGGCAGTTCAAATCTCACCAGGCTCAAGGTTAACTCAGCCTTCCATCCTCCCGGAGTGGGTAAAATGAGGGCCCAGATTGTTGGGGGCAGTAGGCTGACTCTGTAAACCGCTTAGAGAGGGCTGCAAAAGCACTATGAAGTGGTATATAGGTCTAAGTGCTATTGCTAATAGAAGTCTACAGAACTGAGCATAAAAGAGTAGGCAAACTGAGCTTCCTTTTGATTGTTGGGCAGCCTCCTTGGAAGCAAGTTTGGTTTGGGGGTGGTCTTTTTGTGTGGGGAGGATTGCAGCTGCCTCCTCCTTGTATCTAATGGAATATAAGTTGAGAACAGATCCTGGAGAAAAATCTATTATGTGGTCATTGAGAGTCAACACTAACTTGATGGCACATGATCAGTCCTCCTGTGCCAACATCCATCCCTTCCACCAGGATGCTTCATAGACCTTCCCTCCCTCCCTTCTTCCTCCCCGACAGAAAGAAGAGCGCGTCTCGGAGCTCCAGCAGCAGCTGAAAGAGCGGCAGCAACTGCGTTCCCGGCGACGCTCCTCCAACTGTGCGGCTGACAACCATTTCAACAACTCAGCTTCAGCTTCAGCAGCCACCGGCCCCAACCTTTACCAGCCCAGCCTGCCTCTCGTCCGTTGCTTGGTGGCTGAGCAGGCTGACAAGCTGGGACGCAACAACTGTGATGGGAGCCGTGTCCACCTGCTCTACAAGTGAAGGACCTTACAGACATCTGGAGAAAGGGAGAGTAGGGCTTTGCTTGGGTAGCCGGGGTGGGGTGGGGAGGCGAATGGGCATCTGGTGGGTGGGGACTCTGTACAGCTGGCTGGGAAGTGGCTTCTTTTTTCCCCTAAAAGAACGAAAGGAAAAGGAATCATAATCCCTAGTCTTTGTAAAATATCTTCGTGTCTGTCCATCTGCTTCCCCTGGAGCCTGGAATCCAAGTGGAAAATCTGGAGATTTATTTTAGAAGTAGGGAATCTCAAGGATAACCACATCTACACTTCCCGCCCCCACCTCCACATCTCACTACTCTTTTAAGTGTCACTACTCGGGAAGGGAGCGACTGGAAACATGGTTGTTATAAACCCAAACTCTCCGTCTGCATGCCGTGGGTACTTGCAGGAATACGAGCGAGAAGAAATTCAGACTGAAAGGAGCATTGAAAACTGGTGGAGTTTTTGCTCCTCTGTAAACTTACCTAGATACAGGTACCAGTAGATACAGATACCAGTAAATACAGCATTCGGGGACACCAATTTTGTATACAGTTGAGTTTTGATGTGGCAGTTGTATTGCGTTATTGATAAGTCATACCATAATTCACAAGGGTCTTCTTTACAACAAGGACATTTTTTTCCCTGTTTTCGCTGCAAACTGATCATTTGCAAAAGGGTCTTTATTGCAAGCCAGTCGGTGGCACATTCTTCCTGCAGCAGACCATTGAGTCTCCTAAGCATTTTGGCATGAAAAAAATCTCTTTCATGTAAACCCCCCCCCCCCAAAAAAAAGAGTTCCATATTGTTGGACTGGAATGCATTGATTATGTACGTGATCAAAAGCACTTAACTTAGTTTCCCGATCTGATTCTGGCTGCCAATACAAGCAGCTGCATAAATGCGCAACCTGGCTGGCTCTGACGGTAGCTGTATTGCACATCATAACCAGGTCTCATTTTAACCTCTGCTGTCCTTCCTGTACAATGAGAGTGGAGTCCCAGCTGGGCCACATCTATGTAAAGGTGAAGCATGATGCAATGATGCAGGTGAAGGTTTAAAGTCAAAGGGGAAAATTTTAAAGGTGAAGGTGGAGCCTTTGTTCAGAGATACAGGCTTTTGCTAGAGACATGAGAGGGAACATATCAAGTAACTTCCTTGTCCAGATGGTAATTAATTAACCACGCGCTACGCCTTGTAGCAGAGCTCTTAAGAAAGCAAGCACCGTTCCTTGGATATGAGGGGATGGGCATTGCCTAATGCGAGGAGGTGAGTTTGGAGTCGTTTCTACAACTATTGCAGTTCCCACTCAGCAACATCTCATGTTTGGAAGTGTGACCTCGCTTTGCCCCTGGGCCATGGAGAATTTGTAGGCCGTATTTAATTGCCATTATTGCCTTCATCTTGGTTCATCTAAACAAGGAATGTAGGATGCTGGAGCTACAGTGAAGTCAAGGATTGGCTAGGTTGCTGATGAACATTCGGGAACTGGGCCCAACAGTCTGACGAATGTATGCGCCTATGCATGCAGAATGCACACTCGTGTGCCAGGTCCTCCCCATGCTTTTCCCATTTGGAGCACGTTATTGTCCCAGCAGATATAGGAAAGTGATGGGTGCTGCCTAGGATGGTGAGGGAAGCCCAGATGCCTGCCAGATTTTTCCACCAGTATACAGATGTTCTTTAGTAAAATTATACCATATGAAATACGTATCTGTGTGTCATCTGTGGACGGTATGAATGTTGTGGTGCTGTTCTACACCCAGTGACAACTTGAGCCCTGCACAATGGGGTGGAGCAAAGGAAATTCTCTTTCATGAAAGCATTTTTGGTGCCATCTATGTTTTTCCCGCAACTTGTAGGTACAACCTGTTCATTCTTACACAGGTACTCCTCGACTTCAGTGACCGTTTGACATTACGACAGCCCTGGAAAAGTGACTTTTGACCATTTTTCACACTTTTAACTGTTGCAATGTCCCAGGGACATCCCCTTTTGTGACTTTCTGAGAAGCGAAGTCATTGGGGAAGCCAAATTCACTTAACAACCGTGTTACTAATGGCAGTGATTTACTGAGCTGCGGCAAATGAGGCAAAATTCAAAATTCACTTAACTTTCTTGGCTTAGCAATGGAAATTTTGGGCTCTGTTGTGGTGTAAGACACACTTGACCGCATGTATAGGAAATCAATGCCTGCTACTCCAGAGCATCTCTATTTAGCAATGTAGCACCATTTAAAAGTTTTGGCTTAGTGCACCAGCTTTGACTGTTAACTGTACTTCTTGGGAATGAGGGAAGGGCAAGCCGTTAGGCCCTGAAGTAAGTTTCACTGGGGTTTTCTTATAAGTAAGTTCATGAGAACGTAGAGCCTAGAGAGAGAGGAAAAACCCCTTCTGGTGGGCTTTTAAAGTTGATTAAGAAACATAGCCAGTTAATGCCAACCATAATTGGCTGCTTCCGCAGACCTGTAAAAACGAGGTGTTTTGAGAAAGTAGGTACATTTGGACTGTTTCCAAATTGTTCTCACTACTTTAAAGGAAAAGCTAAGCCTCCCACTAATACCTAACTCGGAGGGTGTGGGTGTGGGTGGGTGGTGTTGAAAAGCTTTCTTGCTGCCACAGAGCCAAAGAAGCAAAGGTGTGTGGCTAGACTACTCTGGAAAGCCTCTTTTAAAATATAGCCTTAATCTCTGCCCACGAATGAACAGATGAATTAGCCCAGTAGCCCTAAGGAGAAAGAAGATCGTTTATCTAATAATGGCCAGCTCCTGGAGTTAAAACAGCTATGGAAAATGGCAATGTAGTAGAGATTGATGGAGGTCATGTGAGCAGCCCTGGCCAGAGCACTCTTGCTCTGTGGCTGCCAAAACTGTGTGCCAGGACCGTTCTTCAGTATAAATAAACTTTAAATCTAAATCTAAATCTAGTTAGAAATTAGTCCATTCTTTTATATACTGCAGACATCATTCTCTGGAGATTAAAGGTAAGATTTAACTGAAGTTGGGCAATTATTTTAACTCCTTCGATAGGGGGCAACCAGAAAGATAGATAGATTAGAAACTGCCAGGAGCTAATATTACCTCAACTTCCTGCTTATCCAAAATGAGCAGCTTCTTCCCCATTAAAAAAAGGAGTCTTAGAAGTTCCTGTTTGTAGTGGTTGAGGTATTTTTAAATTATATTTTTATCCCTTCATTACTGTTACATAACTCAAGGCAACTTATTTTCCCGCAACAACAACCTTGTGGGTTAGGCTGAGGGAGAGTGACTGGCCCAAAATCACCCACCTTAGGTTTTCAGGTTTAAGGGAGGACTAGAACTCATAACTTGATTTCTAGGCTGGCACTTTAATCACTAGGCCAAACTGGCTCTCAATATACATTTATATACAGGATTTCGAGGTACAGAGTAATTGGGTTTTCCTCCATAACAACGTTCTGGATTCCATCCTCCCAGGCATTGTTGTCTTGCATTTGCCCATATGAATCAACATTTTAATAAATACAGTCAAGTACACACACACACAAATAGCTAAATAGCCTCCACAAGCAGAGCCTAGCGTGCTGATTCTGATGTTCTCTACTGCAATGTTTCTCAACCTTGATTGCTTTAAGGTGTGTGGATTCCAATTCCCAGAGTTTTGAAATCAGAACACAGATTTTAAAGCCTTTAAGGTTACGAAACACTGCTATGTTATGTATATCTTTCATCTATTCGTGAGCTTAGAAGTTATAACGTTTAGATTGCTGAAAAGAATAATTTGCTTGAGGGAAAGGGAGAGGTCAAAGGAAAAATAAAAGCTACCTAAGGAAGATAATTCATTTAGATCCCCAGTAGCAATGATCAATTCATCAAAATACAAATGCCAATAATTTAGTTGAACTTCAGATGTCAGGCACAGGTGTTGATTGATTGGAGACGAGTTTGCTCAGCTCATAGCCAACCATAAAGAGGGGAAAAAATAACATGTTATGAACCCAGAATAAGTTCCCAAGACATACTTCAGAAATCTGTGAAAGTCTTTTAATGGTTATTTGTGATTGCAGACAAAACATTTAAGAAGATTAAACTTCTTGGAGCAATGGGCATAGAGTTCGAGGCTTTTGGACTTCAGTTCTAAATTTCCTTATCACAAATATCAAGTTCTAAGTAGCTGGCCAGTATTCTTACAAATAAGTATTTTTTAAAATAATACAGATGTCCTGTAGAGGGTGGTGAAACAGCTTTGGGGCATATCCAAGAATGAGGTGACCCTGCTACAGAAGTGGCCAGCAACAATCAAAACAAAAACACAGAGTAATTTCTAAGGCACAAAACCTGAAGAGTGCAGAATTTTACTGGCATTCTTCCTTGCCTAACCAATCCATCCTGTTGTGTTTCAGAGTAATTTGACCTGCATTAATTGCCCGTAACTGCTTCTCACTTTATCTGCTGATCTGTGCATTTTCTGCTGCTATTAAACCACAGACACAAAGCCAGATGGTTTTCTTCCCCCAGCCAATTAATAACCACAATCCACTAAAAAAATACGACTCTGAGTTGGAGATAAAATCTCCAAGCTTCTACCACAGGCTGCCTTTGTGTAGGTCTGTTCCACCCCATTTCTCTCCCTCCTTCCTAAATCCCAGTCTCGGGCCTTTATGGACACACAGCAAGTATCTCAGAGCAGGAAAAGCCCCCTACGCTTCACTCCATGTTTGATCTTAGGAAAACCTTGGCATTTTGGATTCCTACTTTCCATGCTGCTGTTCAGGCCACAGAAGATGAGAGAAAAACAAAGGAGCAAAACAAGCAATAAGCTGGAAGTGGCACTCCCACAATCCTTCATTTAGGTTCTTGTACTCCACAAGACTTGACATCTATATTCATGCTTCTCTCACCTCGGTATCTTTGGCTAAGTGCCCGTGACCGAGCCCCACACCAAGTGGATTTTTCTGCCACGCTGCTCCTGTGAGTAGTGGAGCCTGGGCCCAGGAGGAGAGGATAGAAAGCCAAAAAGGAAACACCAAGAACAGTGAAAGTTCAGCTCCCAGGGAAGAAGACCCTTTGCCAAAGAAACCTCAATCCCTAGAAGTGATGTGCCCAATCCATTTGTGAAGAAGAACCAGAGAGGGGATTCCACCAGCTCTTCAGGAGAAAAGGCCAATGGAAACATCCTCCTCATCTGCTTCTTCCTAAGCTTGTTTTCTAAGAGTTTTACCCCAACATATTCTGCCTCTGTGTTAAATTTCTGATTGGGGAAAAAGTTTGAAGCTGGAGGTGGCTTTGGGCACCTGAAATGTTGTTCCCCTCATCTGGAATGACGTATTCTCCAGCCTGGCACCGTCTGACATCTGACTACAACGTCCTGGAGGGGTTGGAGATAATGAACTAACATGTCTGGAGGGCACCAGGATAAGGGAGGTTGGCAATATTTTAACAGGCCGGTGTGTCTCTGCCAAAGTACCAATTAAGTTGGGTTAATGTGCCTCCCTTCTACCAAGAAATTATAACAAGCTCTGTTTTTCCACCAGCCTGTTCCTGTGGGCAATAAAACAGCAAAGGGGGCAACCTCGACCTCTCCAATTCACCTCATGATTTGCTGGTGGGTGGCTGTGAGAGAAAGTGCCATTAGAAGTCCCAAGGAGTGATTCGCCAATAAAGTGCTGGTGGTGCCACAGACTCCAGAGACGAAAGGGATTAGCAGATGAGAGTTAAGCCTTTATCTTCCCATTCATCCTACACAGGCAATTGGAGGAGCCCCGGGAGTTTCTGGAGAATCTGAAACTACCAGCAGCACAATCATAACAGGTGGATGCAGAAGGGCGGGCAGCCCATCTCTTGGTGTTAGGTTGGAGGAGCATTTATTGGATTAGAGTTGTTTCCCCTAAGGCCTAAACTGTGATTCCCTTTGGGAAATCCTCCCACTGAAATGTACATAGAAGGCATCATGAAGATGTAGATGCCACAGACTATCAAGGCGATAGTGACGAGCAACGCGACCGACAGAGCAGCGTAGAATGGCCAACCCGAGACGGCCAGTCTTCGGGCTGTTCCCGGGGGTGGAGGCCTCCCGACATCGACACTCAAACTGACAGTGTTGAGTGCAGGTCCCGCCTTCGATCCGACTTGAGCCCCGCTTTTATTCCCCGACGGCAAGTAGAGCAAACCCCGCCGACGATCGAAACGCACTGAGCCAGGGGGCACCGGCATGGCGGTGAGCTGCTCCAGCAAGTCACGGCGGGTGGGAAGCCCCGGCAGGCCCTTGCGGGGAGGCAAGACAGTGGGTGCCCGGCAGACGGGGCAGGTGATGGCGTTGACATCCTCTGAGGAGACATTGATGCGGGCCAGGCACTCCAGGCAGAAGACGTGACTGCAGCTCAGTTCCTTCGGCAGTTTAAAGAGCTGGTCATAAGGGGTGAAGCAGATAACGCAGTCCAAGGGGCTGGGCTCAGCATTGGCCGATTCTTCCTTGTCATTCACAGCTTCCTCCTTGGAATCCGAGGGTGGGGCTGAGGGTTCAGGTAGGAAACCGACATTGTGGTGAGCCATGGCGTCACTGGCGGTTGCAATGGGCCCAAACACTGAAAGCCCAAAAGCTGAAAGACTCCGGTGTCATGCTTCAGCAATCCACGCTTCCATTCAGCAAATTTCAGAAGAATTGGTCGGGAAATGAGTTGGTTTCTGAGAAGGACAAAAAAAAAGAGGACAAAAGGTCAGCATTGATGATAACGTTTTCCCAAACCACAATGTACCAGGAGCAGACACCTTTTGTCAAGTAGATTCAAAGGGAGGTGCTCCAGTTTGCCTGCAATACCAAGATAAGATACTAAAGCAGGGGAAGAAATTGCAAATCACAGCCGCTTTCAAACAGCACAGCCCCGTTCAGTGGAAGACATGTTTTTTTTTTCCTTTTGTACATGCAGCTTTTGTGATAGATGCCTGTTGCCACGAAGGCTTTGAATTCGTAATGCTTGGTTAACGCCCAGACTTAGTCACCAAGGGCTACAGGTGGCTCAGTCTACAAAATGACAGGTGAAATAGATCAAAAGCCTTCTGCTGACTTATTAATTGCAGCAAAGGTTTATAGGACTTAAAGAGTTGCCAACATCTCATCTTCACCCTCATCCTCAGCATCTGAACTACTATACTTCAGATCTTCTTTTTTCCATCTTTATTCATGTGTGTGCTTCAAGTCATTCTGGATTCCTAATGACCATCTGAACAAGTTCATACTCTGTTCTTGGCAATACTTTTGAAAGTTGTTTGCCATTGCTCTCATTTAGGACTTAGAGAGAGATACCCCAAATCACCAGCTGGCTTCATGTCCAAGATTAGACTAGAACTCATGGCCTCTTTGTTTTTAACCCAGTGCCCTTAATTACTACACCAAATTGGCTCTCTTTGTTATCATAGTCCAAAGATACTTTGCTCACCCTGATCTTAAATGCCAGCTATATCAGCTTTTCTCATTCCACTTCTACTCACGGTAGAAGCTGCTGGCTAGGGAATTCTGGGAATTGAAGTCCATACACCTTAAAGTTGCTGTTATTGAGAAATACTGATCTACATCCTTAGCAGTTCTTCTAATGTTATCCTAGTCTTTTTTTCCCCCCCTAGCCCTAAACCTTTCATTGCTTTTGTGGCCTCATCCGAAGATCTAAAGCAGGGGTGTCAAACTCAATTTCATTGAGGGCCGCGTCAGGATTGTCTCTGACCTCAGGGGGCCAGGGTGGGCGTGGCCACCTTGATGTCACTCATGTCAACTTGATGTCACTCGTTTTCAGCCACGCTGGCCTCCTGCAGCCCTCTGCAGTAAAAATGGAGCCTGCGGGCACACGCACATGAGCTCCGTTTTTTCACTGGCAGAGAGCTGCAGGAGGCCATTGCGGTTGAAAACAGAGCGTGGAAGGGCCGCGCGCAGCCCCTTCGAGCTCCATTTTTACTGGCAAAAGCACCACGGGTTGGTCCTCCGCTGTCTCCCCTCAGGCCAGCTCTAAGCATCCTGCAGGGTGGATCCAGCTCACTGCCCTTAAGTTTGACACTCCTGATCTGAAGGATTTAGAAGATGATCTAAATTAAGAAATTATACTTTGCAGCATCTCCTGTGGGGAAAAAATAAGGAGAACCCAAATACTGATGGTTAGAAAAGCTGCTCCATGAATTATCTTTCACTGAGCAACTAACTACTCATCTGTGTGACAAATGTGGCGTAACTGAGAAATAAGGGACATTTCAATAAAATTGTATGACTTGATATTTACAGCAGTCAGGTTCTCAAGTCACACATCAGCATCTTAAGAGAAAAGCATAACTTGCTTGTACCTTCTGGATTACTTTTGGAGAGAGGCTGCAAGGCCAAAAGGCAATGTAGAGAGATCATTATCTGCATTGGATGAGAAGGGGGGAGGGGGGGAATCCTCCATGAGAAAGTTTCCGCAGAAGTGCAAAATAGTCTTCACTGGTACTAAATATAAAGGGGGAGGTTATGGGTTGCGCAGCCCTACAACGTTCAGGGATGTGTGAGAGAGAGAGAGACAGACAAAATATAAAGGCTTGCCCACTCGTGGATTCAGTCCCACAACAACCTGGAAAACATGCGGGCTATAAAAAAAATAATGTTTGCAGGTGACTCTAATCAATGGTCAACCATCTGCATAGATGTAGCAACAAAAGAGGAATGACAACTAGGCGATAAGAATACATAGAAAATACGGTTGTTGGACTGTGTCCCCTCAGTTTAGATTTCATTCGGGAAGGCTAATTTTACTGCTTGCAGAGGGATGATTCTGGTATAAGATGGCATGAATGGAGACTAAGTATGGAGACATTCAATGGTATCAGTATCTTGCACAAGCAAAAATGCCTGGTCCCACCTTAGTATAACACAGGAGCACAAAGCCATTATTGGTCTAATTCACGGGTGTCAAACTCATGGTGTCACATTGCTGTCACATGATGTATCACGTTGGTTAGTTTCCCCCTTTGTGGAACTGGGGTGGATGTCAGGGATGGGTTCCGGAAGGCACTACTGCCGGTTCGCTTATTCGATCTGTAGGGTGAAGTGGATGCTTTTTCTGTATTTCTCAAGATCAGGGTTCCTTTTTTCCCCTCACAAAGGTCTAGCTATGTGGTTGCTAAGAGTCAACAAGAACTTGGTGGAAAGTCAACAATCAGCCCAGCCTACTTCTTCACAGTAAAAAGGCCAAAGGGAGACATTTCCTCCTGAAATCTTTCCTCAGGACTGAACTAAGACATGAAAGGCTGCATGACAGATACAGGTAGCCCTTAACGTATGACCACAATTGAGCCCGAAATTTTGGTTGTTAAGTGAGACATTTGTTCATTGAGTCTTGCCCCATTTTATGACCTTTCTTGCCATAGTTGTTAAATGAATCACTGAGGTTGTTAAGTTAGTGGCACAGTTGTTAAGTGAATCTGGCTGCTGCCCCATTGACTTTGCTTGTCAGAAGATCGCAAAAAGTGATCACATGACCTTGGGACACAACATTGGTCATAAGTATGAACCAGTTGCCAAGCACCTGAATTTTGATCACAATTTTGAACATGGAGACGCTACAAAGATTGTTAAATGTGAAACATGGTCATAAGTCACTTTTTTCAGTGCTGTTGTACCTTTGAATGGTCACTAAATGAACTGTTGTAAGTCCAAAACTACCTGTATTGGCAAAGTTAGACACAGCCTTGGGCCCCACTGTGGTAAAATAAAAAGGGCACCCCAATTCCTCGGAAGGCTCTTGTTCCTTTTATTGCCCACCACGAGAGATAAAATCTCACATACAAAAGGTTTCATACAGTATATTTGCACAGCCGAGTTCTGAGAATTTTTATGAATCAATAATTTGGTTATGTGAATATTATAGAGCTGTACCATGCATAATGCATTCAAATACATCCTTGTGGCCACAGAATTCAATAATGGGCAATGACCTTTTTGGAAGCGCAGAAAAGGAATAAGAGCCCAACCCAAAAACAATTTATAAAACCATTCTTTTCCCTCCTGTTGAATGACAACTTGGGGGGGGGGGGAATCTGGAGGCGTTTCACTATCTGACATTGGTAGAAATAATACTGAAGAGGCATCTGAGTAGACATTAGGAGAATTACCCTGGTAATTACAGCAATTAGAGAGTAATCTAACAGGCTTAAGAGCTGCTATGTTTCCTTTCCCAGGAACGGAAGAAACTTAAAAACTGCATTTTGCATTATAGATCCTATACTGAGCTGTGCGGGTTGGACTAAATGGCTTCCAAGATGCACATTTTGGCTCAATAATAGCCTACAGCTATTTTCTTCCTGCAATTATTATCCACAAACAATAATCAAACCAATCACAATATAATTTCTTCTTCTTCTAATTATTATCAACAAACGCCTCACCCAACCAATGAGCTAGGATGAAGGATGACCTAAGGTGCCCCTTTGGATCCAAAGTGGGAATCAGATCTTCAACTTTCTGCCAGCCAAATTTGCTCCCACCTCCCGGGAGGAGGAGGAGGAGATACTGTTGCTCAGTTAGTACAGCATACACCTTATGTGCCAGACGTTCCAGGTTCAGGATGTGGCATTTCCCATTAAAAAAGCTCAGCAGATCTGTCAGAAGAGAAGCAATAACGTGGACGGAGAAATAGAGCTGCTCCTCATTTTGGGATATGCAAATGTTGGAGTCAAGGCCAACAGTTGACTTCATAATAACCCTTTGGTCCTCTGTAAACATTTCTTCAGTAGGCAGCAGGCTGATAGAACTGTGCAAGGCATTCTGGGCAGAGCCAGGCAGCAGCTGGTTTGACTATCAGGCTGTGAAGATTTTACATTGACAATTTTTGATGTTATAAGTAGCAATGGCAATAGCACTTAGACTTATATACCGCTTTATAGCGCTTTTACAGCCCTCTCTAAGCGGTTTTACAGAGTCAGTTATTACCCCCAACAGTCTGGCAACTCAGAAGCCACCTGGAATCACCGTGTATGAGTTTAATAAATAAATTTGCAGTGAATATCAGTCTATTTTTCCGACCTAACTAGAAGTACAAGGGAGGGCATCCAATCTGGGCTGCAAAAAACCAGGTGACCCCTAGATGGAATCATCTCTGCCATCACCTAGCAGCAGTCTGGATTTTGGCAGTCCAGATCTTATCACCTTAGGACAGAGGAATATGTAGCCTCAACAAAAGAGGTAGTTAATAAATAATAAAGGAACCAACTACAGCGTCCAACAACCTGAATCCATTATTTCCTGTAATTCAATTCTGGGCTTTCAGCTGTTGCAGAAATCCAGTTCTTAGCCAGACCTCCAGCAACACAAGGCACTGCAGACAGACAGGCTATAACTGTAGGGCAGCAACATCTGGAGAGCTGTAGGTTCTTCACCTTTGCTTTACTGGAATTTCCCTTTATCCACCAGCTTTGCAAACTCTCAAACGTGGAACATGTGAAACTACCAGTTTCTAAGAGCTCACTGGCAGCAGTTTTCCAGGTTTCGGACAAGAGTCCTTCCCAGCCCTACCACAGTAGAGAATAGTATTTCCTATGGGAATATAGATCTTCCCCGAGCAGCTTGATCAATAACAGAAACCAGAGCCTCCTGAAAAAGCCTGGGCACGTTGAGAGTATTGGTCAATAACCCATTGGCATTCAAAAGCACTGACCGTCTTGACAGCTCATCAGCTTATTTCAAAGGTTACGGAGAAGGTCAGCTGTCTGAGTAGAGAGGCACACAGGCATCTGCACTTCAGTCAAGAGGGAACCCCTGGGACAGCTGGAGCATCTGTCAAGTGAAGTCTTGGGGGGGGGGGAGGCAAAGACAGCAATGCAAGTTCAACCAGAAATTCTCCACACTTGGCCACCTGAAATTTACAGTCCCTGGTACACTTGGTCTTTGCAGATCACTGAGTTTGGTCCTCCTGACAGCTGCTACCTGGAGCTTTCTTGAAAGGCTTCCAAAGAATAATCTTTTTTCTGCACTGGTTTTTTGACAGGGACAAACACACACCAAGGGAAACAGGACAAACAAGGCATTACCATAGGAGCTCTTGCGGGCATTTCTTAAGGGTGAGGGTGGAGGATTTAAGCCAAAAAGAAGCTCATCTCTTGTCTCTTGAACTCTTTTTTAAACTAGCACCTGAAGCAACCCAGTCTCTGGACACAGGTGACTCGAAGAGACAGAACTCTTAAGGTGACTGCTTCCTACCGCAGGGATTTCTTAGAGTCCAAATTCCCAAGCAAGTTACTTTATTTTTTTAGTTCCTGCTTCCATATCCAATACAATACTGTATGGCAATGGTTCTTAATCTTTTTATTTATTTATATAAATTATTTACATATAAGTATATCAAACACAGTGTAACCGTCCTGGCGTTTCACTTCCATAGAAACCAAAGTGAAAAACAAATAACATATATACTACTTGCACAGTGCTGGTCTTATACCATTATTTTTGAGCAATGTATTCATTCTAATACATATATAATCTCTCATTTCGGGTCTATTTAGCCTAATTTTTTTTGTGTTCCAACTCCCACCTCGTGTTTCCAGCCATTGATAAAATCTATTCCATGTGTCATAATATTCTGTCCCTCCTTTGTTTTTTTAATTCTAGTCTATCCATTTCTGTGCATGTTAATATCTTATTAGCTCCTTTTCTGAAGGAGAATTTTCACTTTTTCATTGCTGTGCATACACCATTCTCGCTGCTGTTAGGATGTGAAGTATTAGGTATAATTGACCTTTTCTTCATCACAGACTTTCTTTCAAATATTATTTTGTGGCCACAAGCCATGGCCAGGGACCATCAAGACTTAACTCAAGATTTAAATTGTAACATTTCTTCAAGCCTTCGCAGACGACATCAGGGTCCACAAACCATAGATTGAAAACCACGGCCGTATGGAACATATGAAAAAGTGTGGGTGACAAAGAGTGCCTCTGAGCATAAAATAGTGCACAGGAATCTTGCAGCACTGAAAAGCTACACAAACCTTCTATAACCAGCATGGGATTCGCTAGAGGATGGGGGTTTTCAAATAACCTGAGCTCCAATGCATTAATTTGAGGAATGTTACCTCTCCCCGAGTCTTAGCCGATGGCGGCACCTGCTTGACCTTGACTAGGGTTGTCAGGTTAGTTTTGGCTGGATCCCTGGAGGAGAAATTTCCCCGGAATCCATAAAATGTAGGCTATAAAGTTGAAAACCACCCACAAAGCAAATACAGGTAAATCCCTTCTATTCTCCTGTTGAGAAAATTGCATGGCCAAGTTCAAGACACACGTAGGTGTTGAGTTTGACTTTACGATATCAGTACTGAATGAAAAGCAACCACTTCCTCACCCTCAAAGGCCTGGATTAGCCCATTCCAACTTTCCAGTTCGGTAACAGAAATTATCTTGCAAAGCTTTCCTGCACACATGAGGACTAGAAACACGTTCCTTGTGGAGACACTTTTGCTTGATATTCCACTGGCGGGATTCTAAGCAGCAGTTTGAAATTTGGCATATCCAAATCACTCAGGGCACCTATTCATGGTGTAAAGCAAATGCAAAGCACAGAAGGAGCCGGGGGGGGGGGGGGGCCTTCCCTCCAGAAGCCTCTCTAAGGGCATCATTCGCACTCGGTCCCCTAGATTGTGGGTCGAATAAAACTTTCCCACGTCAGGAATGTTTCCCCGACGATATTTGGTCCTGTCTTCCATATGGAGCTCCTTTCAGCTCCCCTAATGAGAAAGCCCGCTTGGTCCCACCGCGGCCAACCCTTGACCTTCTGCCGGGCTCCCGAGGCCGCTGCGGGGCCGGAGCTCCCCACCTCCCTTGCCGCCTTACCCGTCGGGAGACGCGGGCGGGCCTTCCTCGCCTTCCTGCGCGCCAGCTGCTCTGCTCTCGCTCTCTTAGCGCTCCCGGCTTTTTCTGCCGCGCCTCCTCAGCCGTGTGCCGGCCCCGGCCGTTTGCTCTTGGCCACTCCCCGCCACTGGAATCTGCCCCCTGGAGAGAGCGTATTCCTCGGGCACACCCCGTCCGGGTCAGGGCTCCACCTGCTCTGGGGAGCGGCGGGGGTGACCGAGCCGGTACCGCCGCATTCTCTCCCGGGGGAGGGATTAGCTGGCGCGTAATCCTCCGTCCAAGCGGCCCGCGGGTTCTGGCTGACCCTCATCCCCGGCCAAGTGCGGGTTTACGGCCCCTTACTCTCACTCGGGACTCTCCGGGTTCCTAGGAAATCAAACTCCTTGCCGGGGGACCCAACGCAAATCTAGCAGCAGGCAGACGTAAGTAGGTTTCTTTCGCGCCTTCAGGCGTGGGGACTCGATCTGCGGATAACCCTGTTGCGGAAGACGCTTTGCCCTCTGCCCTTCCGATGGGCTTGCAAATTCCGTTCATAATTGTAGAAGCCTCCGGGGGCCGCCTCGGCTTTGCAGAGAGAGCGATGTGTTAGAAATCTTCCACTCCTAACAGACCCTCCAGGAGAACCGGCTTAAATTCCCCGAGACCGCTGCCGGAATTTTCCCAGCCCCCTTGGCTGCGGACAGAAAGAACCTACTCAACGGATCCACCTTTCTTTCGTCTGGCGCAAACAACACACTTTCCCCGTGATTCACCTAATCACGATTTACTTAAATCGATTTAGGGTTTGGGTTTTTAACACACCGATTCAACCAGAAATTAATTGCTGAACCACTTGTCCATATACCACATTTCCTTCAGGTCTTAAATTGCTGTAACATACTTAATTTGTCTGAGACTCTGAACCGTGATCCAATCCAATGGGTTGCATTCACACACCGACCACATCCCAAGCCAGAAAGCTAATCCAGTTTAGCAGGTGTTGTGAATTAAGCCAGAGAGTAACAAGGCAGTGAAACTGACAAATTAGTAGTCAAATGTTTGCTTGGAAAGTAGTGGTGCAGCTGGGAAACCTCATGGGGTAACTGGTACAATAGCTGTGTTTGCACTACATGCTTTTCATGTTTAACCACATTTACTTAATCAGCCTAATTTTCATGGTTTACATGGCAAACTGAACTGCAAACTACAGTTGACCCAAAGGAACATAAAGTGAGGACAGACTTAGAAGGCAGGTTTGCCTGCAAAAATCACTAACTTGAAACACACACAGATTATTGTATAGACATAGGTAGGGGTGTGTCTGTGTGTGTGTGTGTGTGTGTGNCAGATTGTTGGGGGCAATAGGCTGACTCTATAAAATGCTTAGAGAGGGCTGTAAAAGCACTGTGAAGCGGTATATAAGTCTAAGTGCTATTGCTAATGTAGTCTTTCCCAGCAATGCTATATTACAACTTTTATACAACTTCAGTAGCATAATTATTGGGAATTATGGAAGTAGTCTAATGCATCTGGGTAGCATCATTGTGGAAGGCTGCCATTGCTTTAATGGATCACTGGAAATTTTTTTTTTCTTAGTGCAGATCTTGTTTGAAGGAGCCAAAAGTTCTTGATCAAAAGTGTATCTGGCAAATGCAAACCCATCACCATAAGATTATTATTTCAGCTAGTTAAAACCCTGAGGATTCTTTTACCATATTGTGATTATACTGTATATCAAAATGTTGTTCATCAAAGAATCCCATAATTTATACTTGGCCAACAACAAATATCTTATTTTTTTGCTAGCTCTCTTTGGCCTGCACCTTTCAATTTAATCTGATTTAGACCACATTTAATATTGGGAACATCCAACTAGAGATAATAACAGACTTTGTGGGGTAGGAACCAAGGTAATTTTTTCTTTCCTTCCCCTATGTTTTCTTTGTGTTTACCATCCAGTCTGAATATGAATTTTCATACATTCAAAGATTATTTTAGAATTACTGTCAGTTCTCCTGGGTAAACCAGACAAGAATCATGAGAAGGTGAGCTAAATCTAATTTATGATAAGGCTACATTAAGAGAATCTTTCAAGTCTAAAGGAACAAATTTCCCATCACCACTTTTAACTGTCTGAAAAATTAGGGTGAGTCCTTTCTAAATTTCTTCTTCTGATCATTAACCCATTGGGGATCCTGCCTTTCTTGTTTGATTGTTTCTCTTCCCATTATCCTTCAGTACTCCACTGCATCTACCAAGCTGATAGCTCAAACCTCACTCAAGGTTTGACCAAATTTCATTTCTTAATTACTTTTGGTTTTACTTTCTTTCTTTTCTCTTTTTAAATTGCTTTTTAAACATTGAGAACCTTCAGAACTGCACATACTAATATATTTACTTGGTGATTTCCCCCCTTCAATCCTTTATGAAAGAAAATTATGAGTTTAGGTTTTGTAAAAAATATTTTTCTGGAATATAAACCAAAAAGTAGAGTATGATTTAGAAAGTTTTAAATTGATTAAGGGTTTAAAAGGACTTGAATTAAGACTTTGAGGTTAATTAAATACCCCCCCCCAAATTATATGGTTACATTTGAAAACAGATAACTGATAAGATAATTTTGAAGATTGGTCACTAGAGGGTACCAAATGAAAATGAATGTATCAATAGATTTATGAGAGAGAGATATAACTTTTAGGTGCAGAAAATAATTTAAAAGTTATCCATGATACATAAACTGGATGGTGTTATGGAATTGGAACAGGTTTTAAATAAAATTAATAATGATGTAACTGGAGACTTAAAATATGTAAGGAGATAGAAAAAGAAAATGGTAGATATACAAAAAGATGAGTTATTGGTGATGCAAGTGAAACTGACTGATGTTTTAACAATTAAAAAAGACATACAAATACTAAACCAAAAGAATGATGTGAGTATCATTCTTTTATATGTGATTTACAAAACTGATTTTTAAAGTTGTCAATGATTTTGTGAGAAGAGACAGTGAGAATATGAAGAGTGATATGGATAAAGGCCTTATATTGGATCTACAAAAGGGGCTTGTAAGAGTTGCCAAGAGAAGAGACAAAGGGAGTACAAAAACAAAACAGATGTTTGAATATTTTCTGAGGAAACTAAAGATTGTTATGAGAAAGATTACAGAGCTAGTTTATTTGATCAAGTCTAACATGGATGGTTTGCTATTTCTGGTAAAGTTGAGTGACCTTTGTGGGCTAGGACTGGATGACAATGTTTTAAAAGTTTGCTTTATTTGAAGAAATGAGATAGGAGGATTTGTTTAAATAGAAAATGTGAAATAAAGGCAAAAAGAAGGATTCAGAGTGGGCTTATTACATATTAGGTATAGTTTACTATACTTATGTTGTTAGTTCTAACCCTTAATGGGATTTTTTCTAATTAAGATGGCATGATGAGACTTTAAAGATTTGCTTATAGAAAATGGGATGGGATATGGGATGAAGAGGTGGTTGGTTGTACATTAAGAGAGAGTGATAAGCTTTTAGTGTTAATTATACTTGCTGGGGATAAAGAAGGAGAGATCTTCTTTTCACTTTGCTTTTTTCCTTCTGTACTTTTTATTTTTATATATTTTTATACTTTCTACTTTTTGTATTTTGTAGTTTGCATTAGTTTTAACTGTCTAATATACTTCTTAATAAAAATGATTACAAAAAAGGTAAAAGAACTATAGGCCAAACCCATAGACTAAACCAAAGTGAGGAGGGCCCACACTCTGAATGGACAAGCTCATGTCATCTGTGAGTGCAACACTAACAGTATGCACAAGTTTTTGACACTTCCTTCCTTACAAGGTGGTTGAAATTTGGGTGTAGGAATTTACTGTCTTTCATTAAAATACCAAGTTTTTTTTATTTCTCTCCAGCATCTCAGGGAACAGAAACCTAAAAGCTAATAAAATCTTTGGTGGTGCAATGGTTAGAATGCAGTACTACAGGTTACTTCTGCTGATCACCGGCTGCTAGCAGTTAGGCAGTTCGATTCTCACTGGCTCAAGGTTGACTCAGCCTTCCATCTTTCCAAGGTTGGTAAAATGAGGATCCAGATTGTTGAGGCAATAGGCTGACTCTGTAAACCACTTAGAGAGGGCTGTAAAGCCCTGTGAAGTGATATATAACAATGGTGGGTTCCAGGTGGTACGGTACCAGCCATACTGGTAACAGCCAGGAGCAGCAGCCACCATACCAGTACGGTGGCTCATTTGCCCCCCCACCCACTTTCCATAGCTGTTTATAAGCACAACCAGCCAATTGCGCACACGCGCACAGCATGCAGTGCCTGCACGACTTCCGTTGAGCAGCTGGGTGTTGCAGGGCAGTGGTGTGTGCATGCGTGCGCAGCATATTTGTCCGACTAGGATGCATGGCCCCCGTGCGCAGCGTATCGGCTGTGACGGGGTCCAGAACCCACCACTGACATATACATATACATATACATATACATATACATATACATATACATATACATATACATATACATATACATATACATATACATATACATA